GCTTAATTAAAAATGTTGGGGGGGGGGGGGGGGGGGGGGGGGGGGGTCGGATCTGTAATTACTGTTAATTCGTCGGGTCAGGTGGAGTTTGGAAATGATGGCTACGGGCTTGGGCCAGATCAGGTCAGATTTTTTGGGCCCGAATGCAACTCTTGTTCAAATCCCGGTCCGAGGGCCTTTCTGGGTGGAGTTTGCATGTGGGGGGTTTCTCCAGGCACTCCAGTTTCCTCCCACAGACCAAAAACATGCACGTTAGGCTGACTGGTAACTCTAAATTGTCCCTAGGTTTGAGTGAGGGAGTGAATGGTTGTTTGTCTCCATGTGTCCCAGTGATGGACTGGAGAGCTGCCCGGGATGTCCCCCGCCTCTCACACAGTGACTGCTGGACATGGGCACCAGTGACCCCCATGACCCGAAAAGGAAGAAGCAGGTACAAAAGATAATAGATGGATGGAATTTAGAATAACTCTGTGGTGTGATAATTAATTACTATGACCTACTAACTACTCCCACAAAACAGTGCTTTTGAATGTTGTGCTGAATAGCTCACTGTACGTATTGTGCTAAATGCCAAATTCTGTATACTTTTTGAAACTGCTGAATATAATGATCGTATGGATTACCCGAACACATATACAGTGCTTGCTTTTGTAAACTAAGAATACAAATCTCAAGTGTTCTTTGCAAAATTGAAATGGAATTGAAACTGAATTTATCCCCCCCCCCAATTTGTAACAAAGACCAGAGTTGGCTTGAATGACACGTCTTTATATCCATCTCTGCTTTTTAAGTTATTTGACATGTAAATAGCCGTTACCAGTTTCTTCTTAGTATCACTAAGGTACCTACAGTACCACCAGTGGTACTTTTTCTATAATTTTAAAGCCATGATTCTAAATCAGGGTGTGTCCAATCCTGGTTTGAATCAACGGGTTGGACAGGCTTTTGCAGAACATGAAGAGGTAATTTAACCATTGAATCAGGTGTGTTGGCGCAGGTATGTCTATCCTATCCTGTAAGTAAAACATTGGGTAGTGGCCATCGAGGACCAGAATTGGACACCTGTGGTTTAACATTTTCAACAATTCAAACCCCCAGAAATAAAAAGCATTAATGCAAGGACTCTGGTATTGTTTGCTTCGTTCTTTCAGCTCAGTGGAGGAAAGTGTTGCACCCTGACGATGTTCAACACTCAACTCAGAGCCTGTTGTAGCTCAGCAGGTACAGTCATACAACAGTCTGTATGCATATCAACATAGTTTTGCTAACTTCTATAGATGTGTGTTGACTTCTGCAACTTAAATAAGAACGGCTGCAATCCTACAGTGTGCTTCCCCTGAAGTTGTTCTACTGACCTCCATGAGCCAATCCAGGAGAACTGCTCTCATCTTGGGCTGAAGATGAGGATGCTTCTCCAACATGTGGATGTCCCTGCTGTAAGTCTTATCCTTCTCCAACATGTTGCTCCACACCACATCCTTACTGGCCCAGCTGACAAAGAGATACCAGTTCATAACTACGCTTTGATGTTGAAAAATGTTGAGCAAACCAGAATCACATGTTTTTTTAAAGTATCGTTTTCCTTTAAAAAGCACAGAAACAATTTCAAACACTACCTGTGGGTGTGACAAAAGGAAGTACCGGTAATTGCAAAAAAAAAAAAGCTGTGAAAGATAATTTTTCTAGTCTAACTACAATCTATTCATATTAGATGAACATGTGCTATCACACAAACTAAATGCTCTCAGCAGGATTCGATTTTAAACAGTCGCCCTTCTACTTGTGTTTTTGTACAACAGAATACTGTGGATGGCAACAGACTGAAGCCCAAGCTAAGATAAATCAGCAGGACTTACCACAGCGCAGGGAGTGGAGCACAGTGAACTGGAGTAACAAATATGTTGTGAATGTGATACTGAAAGAGGCCCGCATTTATCAGGGAAACTTGGTGGTACTCTTCCTGGCTAGGTGTGGACATCCACCGGTGAGGACTCGCATAATCAGCGTCAGGACTCCAACTCATCTTTACAGAAAAAAATTAATAAAATCAAGAACATGGTAAGGATATAAAGTCACAGTAATACAATGAGTGGAGTTCTCCATCAGGCCTATACACCAGCTGGGGTACAATGAATACTTCACGCATCAAATTGTGGGATTCAGGGTGGCAACTCAAATATTAGAGCGTAGACACCCAGAAGACTGTCCAACAGAGCAGGATTAGTAAATGAGCTCAAATTAAGATCACAGCTACAAAAAGTATGTTTTTAAACCTAAATTAAACAAACCCCACAGGCTGACGTCCTGATGCATGCTCGATGTTTCAACAATGAATCCATCCAGAACACCTGACTTGTTACAACTAACAAGGCTGACATATGCAAAGATCAAAATATAGTCCAACAAAGTTAAATCAGGTCCTCTGTACAGTTTCTCTGTGTTGAAACGTTTCATCTTTCATCCAAAAAACTTCATCAGTCGGGGAGCTGCAACAAACTCAGTCCCATAAGTAGCATAAGTTGACCCGACTTAACTTTGTTGGATTTGTTACCTGGATTATTGAGCATAGTGTTTAATGAACTCCTACAGCAGTGGTCATTTCGTATGCTGCGGGAGTTTCAGAGAAACTGATGTTTATTTTCTAAACATGATGTCCCAGTGGCTTTTAAACCCCAAATTATGGCAAAGACTGGTTCATACCAAAGATCCAGCCCCCAGCACAAACAGAGTAATGTTGTGTATGCTGTTCAGTGTCAGGAGGGCTGTGATCAGTCTTACATCGGGGAAACTAAACAGCCACTGGCCAAAAGGATGGACCAGCACAGAAGATCAACATCATCAGGCCAGGACTCTGCGGTCTACACTCATTTCCAGGCCAGCGGTCACTCTTTCAGGGATGAAGATGTTCAAATCCTGGACAGAGAGGAACAATGGTTGGGAGGAGTAAAGGAGGCCATCTTTGTGAAAAGAAATCGTCCATCATTAAACAGGAGTGGAGGCCTCCGGGTTCAACTGTCCCCCCTTACAATGCCATTATTGCAAATATCACTCAGCCCTCTGAATAGCAAGCAGGCATCAGGGCAATAACAATCAGGCTGATGGTCCTCCGTTTGCATTTGAACATCGAGTTTTGGCGTCACCAGCAAACTGGTTGATCCACTATGAGAAGGTGCTAACAGACGGAGTTTGTTGCAGCTCCTCAGACTGAAGTCTTTAGGGTAAAAGACAAAACGTTTCAACAACAAGAATCCGTCCAGAGGACCTGACTTAACCTCGTTGGAAAATATAACTTGCTTTATAAAACATCAGGCTTAGGAGAAGCATGCTTTAATGCAGTCCAGTAAAATCAAATTTTACCTCACAGTCACGATGCTTCTTCTTCGTCATCTCTGCTACCTCCTCATCCAGATCTTGTAAATACTGGGAGTCAAAAAAAAAAAGGTATGTAAATTCATTTACACAGAACAGGAGTAATTTCAGTTTTTGGTGGTTACCTTAAGGAAATAAATAGCAGAATGAAGCAGCCATATCAGTTTTATATGAGAGAAACACAGTAAGATACACTGGATATTAAAAGTGTTAACATTCCAGGTTTTTATGCAAATACATCATTACACATTTCCCATCTTTACTGTGACATCATCCTGTATAATTCAACTGATAAACACATCAGTTAGGGAGGAAACATGTAATATACACCTTAAATACACAGTACCAGTAAATAAAAAGCTATGAAGTAGAGAACAGATCCTATAAGACAACATTCTGGCAACTGACTAAAAACTGTACATCCTTCCAAATATGATGAAAAAACTAAATGAAAACTGCTCAGGCTTTAGTGTTGCTTTAATTAAAAGGAGCTGTAGGGACTTCTGGCAAGGTTTGATGAATCTAAAGTTGAACTTTTTGGTGCATCACCAAAGAACAGCATGCCCACAGTAAAACATGGTGGTGGCAGCATCATGCTGTGGGGCTGCTTTTCTACAGCTGGAACTGAATTCTTACTCAAAGTGGATGGAATCAAGAACCGTTAGTCACCTACCGGTCAGTTTTGGTGCAAAACTTCAGCTAAAAACATGAATACTTCAGTATGACAATGACCCCAAACATACAAATCAAAAGAAATGCTTCACAAAAAGAAGCCTAAAAGTTTTGGAATGCCCCAAACAGGATAAGAAATCTGCGTGGCAACCAGAGAGCTGTGTAAAGAGATACCCTACAAACTGACACACTTTGTGCACTTCGGGAAGGAAGTGTAGACAAACATTACCAAGTCGAGCTGCTTGCTGATGGACTTTAACAAGATTGAAGGCTGTAATTAAAGTCAATTAAAAAAAAAGGCATTTCAAGCAATTTACTTTATGGATGTGCACGCTTAATGCAAGTTTAATATTTCTTATACATCATCCTCCAACAAAAATCAGTGTTTTTCAGTTGAACTGCTCAGGATTATGCGTATAATACAAAATAAATAAAAGTAGGGGAAAGTTTTGAAACGATTTATTGAGGGCTAATTTTCTCCATCATAAAAACAATTGAATGCCCACTGTGCATGCAATATTTACTCAAAGAAGGTCATTACTCAGTTATAGTAATACATGTGTGTGACTAGATGATGGCATCATGTAAGAGCAGCTGTGGAGCAGCAGGAAGGTCTGCTTGGCTCTCAGTCCTTACAATAGCAACATTTGCCTTCCTCTTTCTTGATCGCACTGGGGATTGGGGAGGGACACACTTCTGTTCCTTCTCTTCCCTGTAAGAAAAAATAAAAGATACAGCATAATAAATTCTCCACAGTGCACAGAAAATCGTCAGACAAAACTCAAAGTGTCGTCTAACAACAGGCCAAAGATTAGCCTGATGGCTAAAAACTCCCATCAACCTTCTCTGTTGTCACGAGTGAAAGGAATATGAAGCTCACCCTTGTCCTCGCATTATACTGAGAGGGGTCGGCGACACTTCAGAGCAAACCTAAGGGTGCAAAATACCTAAAGTTAGTGTTATGAGAGTAAAAAAACATTTTCATACTCCCAACCCCCCACGCTGAGCTCCCTCCTTTTAGCCTGAGCCTGGCGCGGGTAAATGTTTGCAGGACTGCAACTCGAAAATAAGTGACAAAACATTCATGGGTGTTCGTGAAATTAGCACAGGGCACACGTCAGACCCCGTTTCATTTATAAATGGCCACCGTTTGGATTATTTTTGAGGATAAGGTTGATTATTTTAAGCTACGAACTCTGGGCAGCTGGTTTCCACATCATGGCTGAACGACTTCACGTTTACCATTTAAATGAAATAACGTCGAGCAGGCAGCCAACACATACAGCACAGCACCTACACAGGCTTCATTAGCTCGTGCCCAACTTGTTGCACTTTGACTAGCAGTTGTTGTCAGCTTAGCTACAGCTGAAACTGGTTCAACTCGACTGTAACTTGTTGCAGAGGCGGACTGTAGTTTCAGCAACTCACCTCAAGATCCTGACCTTGAAGTTCACTCGTATCCAAGTGTCAAACAAAGTCTGGACGAGCTGCTCCGAGCTCCTCGGACTCAGATGTGCTTTGTTTGGCTAGGCCCGGTTAGTTCCTCTGAGCTGGCGCCTTGTACAGCACAGATGAGCCGAAGCGCCGACGACGTCGGGGAGGAGTTGGTTTAAATTGGCGCTAAACCTCCATCCTCGACGTGTCTTCACGCTGCCATTTCGACTTCCTTCACAGCCGGGTGAAAAACGTAAAGCACACAGCTCATGTGCCTTCGAGGCGGCTGCTTGAAGTCGCGCTGAAAAGAAGAAAAATATAAGTTTCCGATTTAGCCGGCGAAAGGGAGGCGTGGCTGTGGAGGTGACAGCTGCGGGGGGCGGGGCTTCGACATCGGAAGTGCCCGGGAACCGCGTGGCTCGTCTGCTAGATGTAAACAAAGCCCCGATCTGTCACATTAACTCTGCAATTTAACGCATCACGATGAAAAGTGCGCTAAGGTTGGTGAATTTTTTTGTTCAGTGAACGCATCATGAGGTTGTCTCTTGCTGTCACCCCGGGAGAAACTTTTATTTCATCGAGACACGTATGCTAGCGGGTGAATGCTCGTCGTTTCCTGCGCGCGTTGCCATGTTTACTTCTATTCCTCGTTCGCGCCAGCACAACACTCACCATAAACAAACTCGTTGCACCCCGTATTGCCTCCTTTAATAAACATTGTGGGGTCAGTGTTGTCAGCTCTTATTTAGGAATCATTTAAGAACCTTTTTTTTTTTAGTTCTTACAGATCGACCCTTGTCCTGTCACGTGATCCGCCTCACAGAACGGAAGGTAAACATTTGTTCCCTTTCGGTCGGGGCCATCGTCTCTGCAGCCTCAACGCTCCTACAAACAAAGAAAAATGAAGTTTCTGAATCTTTTTGGACGCCTAAAATCTGTCGTTATCGGAATGATTCACGTCAAGGCGTTGCCAGGTATCAAGACTGTTATGAACTCTGTCGTTTGATATGTAAAAGTTGTGTTTTTCGGTTTGGACAAATGTTTTGAATGTACATTATTAACAGCAAAATGCACTTCAATTAAAAAAAAGTTAAATCGGCCTATGTGGTAATATACTGATACAAGTGAAAAAAAACTATTTCACCATTCAGGCACTTTCACAGGGGTCTGCAACCTTAACTGAAGGAGACTTTACTTTCTCTGCTACTAAAGTCTAACACAAAAATATATAAAAGTATGTCACAGTGCATCATAAACTAAATTGTAATATATCTATGAGGTTTTTTTTTTTTAAACTGCACCTATTTTGTAATATCAGCAATCTTGTTAGTTGTTATAATAGTTTTAAAACGTTTTTATAAGTTTCTTGTCTATCTCAGGTACTCCCCTGGGTTGTTTGAAAATCTCTCAAATCACAGATGAAGCATGCCGAGAAGCAGAGGTCTATCTTGATGCAGGGATTGTAAGTTGCTGCACGTTACTTGAGCACATCTGAAGTCGTCCCAGCCATGTTTGTAACCATGAGTTGTAACCACCTCTTTCAGGATGGTTTGATTGTTGAAAACATGCACGATGTCCCTTATTCATTTTCTGTGGGCCCTGAGGTGTGCGCCTCTATGACTGCAGTCTGCTTGGCTGTGAGAAGCGTCTGCCCAACCCTGCCGCTTGGAGTGCAGATACTGTCTTCTGCTAACCAGCAGGCTCTGGCTGTAGCTCTGGCCTCAGGTTCAAACAATCCGTCAAATTAAATTAAAACCCAAATTACAAGTCTTTGTGTGTAAACAGATTTTTCCAGCAGTCACTACAAGAGCAAATTTTTTTACCTGGTCTGTCAAAATGACATTTTATTCATTCAAATACATGTTTGGTCTTCAATTCAGAACTGCTGGTCGGTCAGTACAAACCATATGTTTCGTTCTCCAATCATCTCACTTTGCTCTAACTGTACGGTTCCAGGTCTGGACTTCATCAGAGCAGAGGGTTTTGTCTTTTCTCACGTGGCGGACGAGGGACTCCTGAATGCCTGCGCTGGGGATTTACTGAGGTATCGCAAGCAGATTGAAGCTGAAAATGTGCAGATCTTCACAGACATCAAAAAGAAGCACAGGTGAGCTCCCGAGCTGTGAAGTTTGATCAAGAAGTAGAACCTGGTGAGCAACCAATATGCTAAAGAACCTGAGAGCTAATGAGAGTTTTACCTTTATATATAACTTCAGTAGTTCATGTACAGTGGGTTGCAAAAGTATTCAATGGCACCAAGTCTCTGCAAAATGCAACAACACTTAACAATTCTTGCAAAATCAGAGCCTAACAGTAAGCAAGCTTAAAACTGAAGTCATGTACATCAAACGCCTAGATACATCCCCAATAATAATATTTTTATTAACCTTTATTTAATCAGGCAAATCCCATTGAGATCACAGATCTCCTTTGCAAGGGAGGCCTGAAGGCAGTCTAACTGTGGGATTCCTGGTTTCCCTCTGTCTGTTTGTGTCTGTTTGTCA